GTGGGCAAGCTACAGCACTTTGGCTCGAGATGAGAGCCTGGCTTTGACGCTGCAAAGTGAAGATGAGCCAAGGAAGACTCCAGCCAAAGTAAATACTCTGCTGTTACCTCCTGGCTGTCATAGTGACCTAATGCACTGAGTCATTTTGTGGCTTTTCATTTTCAGATCTGTTCGGACATCTCTGGTGGCTGGCTGACGTTTTGTTGGACTGACAAATCAGACTGTGGGTTTATTTTGAAGCCATTTCAATACTGGCAAAGCAAACATTATATAGGCATATATAAGAAGATTTTGTTTTGAGAATAACAGCAGGCTGTACCCATAGGGAGAGCTAATGTATTCTGAAAGAAAAAAATAGGATAAGACACCAGGACCATTTACTCAGCAGTCATGAGCAGGATGGATCTTATGCCTATGCTACTGAATGCAGAGCAGAGTGACACTGCCTTGTAAACCCCAGCCAGTGAGCTCAGCCATGAGAAGTAACCTGGTCATGACAATCATGAGGTTAAGCAAGGTAAACTGGTAATGTCTACATATGCTTCATGTGCTTAGTTCACTATTCACATAATAAAACAAAACAGCAAACACATGCCATGCCATGTATTGGTTTTGAGTCCTTACTTTGGGACTTGACCTCCCAGCTCCTCATTGTGGAGGTGAAGATGCCAGTAAGCTGTAAAGATATGCCCTAGCAGTGATGTTTCTGTCTTTGTTTGGGGGTTGTTTGTTTTTTGGTTTTGTATTGTGTTTTTTTTATTATAATGACCTCAGGTAGCTTGCCCATGCTGTAGTTTCTACGTCCAAGTTGTATGTGCCTTTGCTTGTCGTCAGATTTCCTGGCTGGGCCCCATGCACTTACTGAATGTAAAGAAGGAAGGGTTTTCGTAAATGGCTGAAGTCACCATAGCCTAGGCTTTATTTTGTAAAGAAATAAAAGGGAGAAAAAGTATATAGAAGCTGCAGCGATTAAAAAGTATCCCAATACACACGGCAGGAGAGCTCTTAGGTGCAACCTCTCTGAAGGAGAGTGGAAAACAAATGAACTGATGACAGGAATTGATTTTAAAGGCCCTGTAGGTCAGTCAAGAGTCTTCTTCCATGAAATCTCGCTGCTTATATAAAAAAGCAGTGATTACATGGTTTTTAAACATATACTGAACATATAAGGACAAAAAATACATGAAGGATTTCTTCCTATACCTGGAAAAAAAATCCGATTTTTAAATACTGCAAAACTGATTTGAAAAGAAAACTTCAAACACCAGTAGAATAAAATGGACCATGAAGGCACAGTATTAATTTCCCTGGTAATTACAGTGATTTCCATCAAACCAACATGGAAATATTACTAATTTATTACTAATACTACTAATTGCAGAGCAATACAGGCTGCATGCATCTTTACGATGATGATATCATCCTATCTGTGGTTCACAGTTTTTTGTCCAACAGCCTGTGTAGTTGTCCTGGCGAAAGTATATTTTCTATACACTTTCTGAGCAGCACACACTAATCTCCAGCAATACCAACACTGATTTTTAACATTTCCTGATTAGAGGCCTAAAAGGAAATGAGGGGCAGTATTCATGCATGTTTACCATTCACTCTTCTATTGTGTGTTTAGGAAAAAAATCCACAATAATAAAAGTTAGTTTATGAAAACAGCATCCCACTACAAATTAGTTGGTTTTCAAGAAAAATAATTTCTGAGCCAGGTTCTGTGCTATTGCCAGATGACAGTTTAAGCTTTGGAGACAGTTTCCTGTTTTCATACCAATTCAAATAGGAGTAACTTTTCCACTCTAGGTCATTTTACTGTGTTTCTGCAGTGCAGAAATGACAGCCAGCTCAGCCACACGTTCTTGTTGAGGTCCCTTGCATGTTTTACAGAATCACAGAATCACAGAATGTTCGGGGTTGGAAGGGACCTCTGAAGATCATCTAGTCCAACCTTCATCCCAGCATACCTAACCACTACACCATAGCCTCAAGTGCTAGATCTACTTTTTTTTTAAACACCTCCAGGGCTGGTGACTCCACCACCTCCCTGGGCAGCCTGTTCCAGTGCCTCACCACTCGTTCAGTAAAGAACTTCCTCCGAATATCCAATCTAAACTTACCCTGACGCAACTTGAGGCCATTTCCCCTTGTCCTGTCATCAGTAATTAGAGAAGAGACCAGCACCAGCCTCACTACAGCCTCCTTTTAGGTAGTTGTAGAGGGCAATAAGGTCTCCTCTCAGCCTCCTCTTCTCCAGACTAAACAAACCCAGTTCCCTCAGCCGCAACCCAGTTCCCTCAGCCGTTTTAGGGCCAAGGGAAGTGCTTCCTGAGAGGCCAGTGCTGTGGATTAGCAGAGTTTTCACTCCTCAGAGCTGGGCAGCCATGTGGGATGTAAATGAAAAGTGCGTTAAGGTATCAAGTATAAAATTCCTCTGCTGCAGGCCTGAGGACGTGGATGGGCAATATGTGAAATATGTTGTCTTGGAGAACAGTATGTATAAAATACAAGTTACATGAGGATTAATCACAGGCCACAATTCCTGAAAAGTCTTCAGACTTCCAAGTAGTCTAATGTAACGCTGAGTTTGGACTGACTTTTGAAGGGAAACACTGTGTAGCAGATGTTCAGAGGTAAATCTATTTGCACAGCACCCCTCCTTCAAGGGGAGAGACCAAATTACTCCACTGCCAAAGAAGGACTTTCCTTTAATCTGTGTTTACTGAAGACTGCATTTAATGCTCGCACAAAGTGTCAGAACCCCTGAGGAAGGATATCTCCCCTTGCCTGGGGACTGGCAGCCAATGCACGCCATGGCAAGGTGTGCTCCACCTGTATCTCTATCCTGGCTAGAAGCCAACACTTCTCATCATATCTGGTTTGATTTGATCTCTCTGATGAGGTTGCTAGTGT